TTGGGGAGAAGGACACTCGCTCGCTCGCTCGCTCGCTCGATTTGTGTAACTGGCACCCTCAACTTATCATCATCACCCAAACAGAGGCTGAATGGGGAGGGAAAAGGATAAATGAAACTTCTGTTCTCCTACAGAGGAGGAGCTACAGAGAACCAGCCTGCTCTCTTCTTCTGCTTAGCACCTCATAACCACGTAAATTATTTGAATAGATGAGATTAAACAGATTAGATATTAAGTAAAATGATGTAAATCTTTTTTGTTTGTTTGAAACGGGATCTGTAGCTCAGGCTAGCCTAAACTCCCTATCTTGCTGAGGAAGACTCTGAACTCAAGATCCTTCTGCTTCCACCTCCCTGTGGGTTTTCTGTGTTATTTAAATTACTTAGCTCTTTAAAAACATTTTTGGCCCATAAAAGAGAAGACACAGGTCAGGTGACAGGCCAGGTGACCTGTTCCTGTACTCCCAACACCCAGGAGGCTGAGGCAGGAGGATCTCCAGTTCAAAGTAAGCCTGGGCCATGTAATGAGATGAAACCCCTGTCTTCTCACTGCAACCACCGCCACCAAAGCCCCCAAAGTGAAAAAGACATAACTAACTTCATGGCTACTCCTAACTCTGACCAAAGAGTCTTTCTCCTTAAACCAAGAACACTTGGGGGCTAAGGGATTTACTGAGCAGAACTATGTTCCAACTGCCAGCCGCCAAACGGACTCTTCTTCCTCTGGGTCTGTGTAGTGCATTCTGGCAAAGCAAAGGCAGGCCAGAGAAGTTTTGCACACAGGATCGTTGGCCAGGGAGCCCTGGGGCCAGTCCCTCACTCCTGTGCCTCAGTTCCCCACCTAGAAGCTGTAAATACTCCCCACTTGGGAGGGTGATTGTGAGGAAGGAAGGAGTACTTGGCAGCATCTAGTACAAAGTAAGCAGTGGCTATTGTTAATAATTAATTTGATTACTCTATGAGAAAGTGACTGCCCTGGAGGGACTAGAGTCCAAAAGATCTTGTCGCTCTTAATTTCTTGTTTTTCAGCACAATTTTTCTTTCATGTTTATATAGAAAAATATATGATACAACAAACATAGTTAACTTTTTTTTTCTTAAATCAAGAATAAAAGACAATAGCCAGGCAATGGTGGCGCACACCTCTAATCCCAGCACTCAGGAGGCAGAGGCAGGTGAATCTCTGAGTTCAAGGCCAGCCTGGTCTACAGAGTGAGTTCCAGGACAGCCAGGGCTGTTACAGAGAAGCCCTGTCTTTAAAAACCAAACCAAACAAACAAAAACCCAGAAGAAAAACAAACGAACCAACCCACAAGGATGGAGAGACAGCTCAGTGGTTAAGCAAAGTGGCTGCTCTTGCTGATGACCCAGGTTCAGTTCCCAGCATGCTGGCTCACAACCATCTGAAACTCCAGTTCTAGATCCAGTGCCCTCTTCTGACCTCCTTAGGCATCACGCATGCACGTGGTGCACAGACATATATGCAGGCAAAACATTCATACACATAAAATAAATAAATCTTTAACACACACACACCATGTACAACTCAGGAAAACAGTGGTTCCTCACCCCAAATTCTACAACAAAGATAGCTCAAACAGCACTTCAACATGTTCTTCCTTTCACTCTTTCCCATACACGTTTTAAATAGTTCTACATCCTGGTTCTCCAGCCCCACACTTAATTTTAGGTGTACTTTCCCATGTCAAGTATTCTTCAAAAAGCATACTTTTTAAATGACTTCAGACTTTTCCTTAAGTAATAATTTTCCTAAGGTAAAGCATTTAGATTTTCTTGTTTTAAATTTATACATATCGCTACAGTCAATGTGTTCATATAGGATCTTGGTTTGCATATCTGCCTCAACGTATACTGATACAGTAAATAGTCCAGTGTGGTGACACATGCTTGTAAGCCCAGAATTTAGGAGGTTGAGGTAAGGCACATTTGGAGTGGGAGACAAGCCAGAGAGAGCTATGTCGTGAAATCCTTGCTTCAAAATTATTTAATTAAATCAAACAGGTAAATATATATCCATGACTGTAAAACTCTTAAAATTGTATCTAAGAAGACGGGCATGGTGACACACACCTTTAAATCTCAGCATTCAGGGGACCAAGGCAGAAGGGTCTCTGTGAGCTCAAGGCCACCAAAGTCTATAAAAGTATATTTCAGGCCAGCCAGGACTACAGTGAGACCCTGACACACACAGATACACGCAGAGTGATTTCCAGGGCAGCCAGGGCTACTTATAAAAAAGTCACAAGGCATAGTGGCAAATACCTTCAATCCCAGGACCAGGGTGGCAAGAGACAGGCAAATCTATGAGTTCAAGGCTGTCTGGTCTACATAGCAAGTGGGATCCTGCCTTAAAAAAAAAAAAAAAAAAAAGTTAAAAGTGTTTTCCTAACAACAGTTGAGTATCAGTCCCACCATGCTCTCAACCAGCCCGTGTTTTTTTGTTTTTTTGATTTTTTGAGACAGGATTTTTCCGTGTAGCCCTGGCTGTCCTGGAACTAGTTCTGTAGACCAGGCTGGAGTATAGGGATTAAAGGTGTGCTCCATCATCACGCAGAGCCATGTTGTATAATACACACACAGCCAGGATGGAAGTGCCTTATATACAGACTCTCAAAGTTTCTAATGAATTAAGAAATACAAAGAAAAGGGGTTGGCCATATGGCTCAGAAGGTAAAGGTACTTGCCACCAAACCTGATGACTTGAGTTTGATACCTAGGACCCACATGTTGGAATACTCTCTGATCTACATGCTTGTGTGTGTGTGTTCCCATTCCCTGACTATTTTTTTTTAAAGGAAAGTATGCTGATTTGTGTGGAACAAGCCTACTGTAATCCCAGCACTTGGGAGGTGGAGGCAGAGATTGTCATCAGTTTCAGTGTAGCCTGGGATACAACATGAGACCCTATCTCAAACCCACTACCCCAGAAAAGTCAGTAATAATAAAGCTAACTTACAAAGATCTGTGCACAAGAGAGTAAGTATTCTTTGTCAACATATCACAAGTCTAAAAGTTACCACTGCCATTTTTCAGTCTTTGTGGCTTAATTCTGGCACATGCCAATAGCTGGGGCCCACTCCTCCAACAGTCAGAAACCTGTCTCCCTTTTTCATTTTTCATAAAAGTTGTATCTGCATTCAATTGACCAATCAGAGGGAGACATTCCCTAGAGCCCAGCAACATTAAAAAGGCACATCAGGATTTCAAGCCACCAAAAAGGTGATCACCAACATCAGAGTCCCCAGCTCCCTCTGCTACCTTAACAAGCATTTCTGAGAGTGGAGGAACTAGCAGCACTCTCCAGCAGCAGGACCCACACCCACCCCAGGTGGTCCTCTTGCTCTGAACCATTCTGCTGAAGACATAGATTTCAAAACTCCAATAATCTTGTTTTAATGCAGCAGACTTTCATTTGTACACAATCAATTTGTTACTGAACAAAGACCCCTTTTTAATTACCTGTGGCAATTAACAGTGATCATTTCCTTTTGTCTCAAGCCTAACACAAGCTGCAAGAGATAAATCCATGATCTTGACCTTTCATTTAATCACAGATAGGAAAAGGTTCAATACAATGTATTTTTTTCCTTCATCTTCATTTTATGTGTATGGGAGTATTGCCTGCATGTATGTCTGTGCACCATGTGTGTCTGGTGTCCCTGGAGGCCAAAAGACGGTGTCAGACCACTGGAACTTGAGTTACAGATTGTTATGTGCCATGATGTGGGTGCTGATAATAAACCAGGTCCTCCAAAAGAATGTATTCTTAAATCCTCTGTACTTAGGAAGGCTATGCATTAGCTATAGCTGGCTAATACACTCTCACTCCAACATTGTTTTCCAATTGCAATTCAAAAGTTACTAAATAATTACAGTGGGCTGGGCTAGCAAAATGGCCAAGTGGATGAAGGTACTTGCCACCAAGTATGACAAACTGAGTTTGACCCCCACCAGATCCTACATGGTGGAGAGAACTGACTCTCATAATTTGTCCTCTGACCTCTGACCATGGCACACACACACCCAAATATACACACAAATAAATGAACAAATGTGATCATTATAGTCAGCAATGAAACAAACAAGAAATAAGGAGCAGTGTTTTTCTCTCCATACATCTGCATTCCTATGTCCTTTTAATGTTTTTCCATTGGTTGACTGCCGTGCTAGAAATGGACCCCAGGACCTTGTGCATGCCAGACCAAAAGACTACCACTGAGCTACATACCCATCTCATTTTTATTTTTAATTGTAAATTGACAAATTATGGTAGTACTCTATCTGTACATTTTGAGAACATTCTCAAAAGAAGAAAATCTTGGCCTTAAAAGTCAGTGGTGGAGCACATGCCTAACAGCAGGTGTTTTTGGGTTCCTCCCCAGCACCAAAAAGACTCACTCAAGAGGTACTTAAATATCTTTTGGTCTCCCAAGAAAATAAGAGTTAAAAGGAAATACAGGGTTAAGCTGGTGGTGGTGGTGGTGGTGGTGCACACCTTTAATTCCAGCACTCGGGAGGCAGAGGCAAGTGGATCTCGAGTTCGAAGCCAGCCTGGTCTACAAAGTTGAATTCCAGGACAGCCAGGACTGTTACACAGAGAAACTCTGTCTCGAAAAATCCAAAATTAAAGAGTTAAGCAGACAATACTTGGCCAAACATTTGTAGCTTCTTTCTGTTAGACTAACTTAATTTTACCTAATTTTGTGATACCTGGATGTGAGTCTGGAACAGAAATAAAATTCTCAAACTTGCTATTTTTGTCTAGCTGGCTAGACAATAATGCAAAGTAGGAGCCATCTGATAAAATCCCTTCTTTCTACAAGAAGGACAAATAATCTGCCCTAATCACACAGCTAGTAAGTTCAAAGGGTCAGAATGGGAGGTTTTTTTTTTTTTTTTTTTTTTTTTTTACTTTTCAGCTGGTTTGGCTTTTTGAGTATTTTAGAGATAGGATCTCATGTAGCTCAGGCTGGCCTTAAACTCATTAAGTAGTTGAGGATTGCCCTGAACATCTGATCCTCCTCCCCCCACCTCTCAAGCACTGGAACCATAATGTACGCAACTGTGCTTGGCTTTGTCAACATGTTTTTACAGCATGGGAAGCTTTCTCTCAATGGCTCGATTTCAATCACCAACTCACTACGGTGACCAGGAAAAGGGTATATTCCAAGTCAGGAGAAGGCCCGAGGAGGACAAGGATTAATGAGGACACTACAAGAGATGCACAAGTCGCAGCTGCTGCAGAGTCCATAACACAGAGGCACTCCTTTCACAAGGGAAGGTCAAGGATTTAGGCAAGTTGGCTATTTCCAGCAAAAACAAATATTACATTTCTGTAATGATGCTTCATGGCTGAAAGTGCCCAGTTCTCCACTAAGCTCAGTGGTGTTCCTCAATATCAAGAGATGCCCATAAATGAGAAGTCAAGAGTGACAGGTGCCCATTTATTTTCAAGACTTTATAGATAAATTCTGATAAAGTGTCGTATCAAAAGTTTAATAGAAATAAACTTTTGGGAAGATGAACACCAATGATTTGTTTGCATTTCTTAATACCAGCAATTCAAGTACTATTCAGACCATTGCTATTTGAGAGTCTAGGTCAACAATGACTCAGCTTGAGAAATTCCCTACCATTTTATAAAAGAGGTGTAAGCTGAGTTATGCAGCTAACACAATCTGGAGAGCCCATCCCCCCACGTTATAAACTAATTTCCATGTGAATAGCTGAGAAAGTGGCAGTGTTTATTTTCTACTGAAAAAAAAGTATCCTGTTCAGTCTCCTCCAAGCCCAGGAAAAGCCCCATCTCAATTCTGTTTTAGGACATAACAAGGGCAAGAGGGGGATCCAAGCCCCAGCCCCAGCTCTTCTAGCAGCATGTTCTGCTGAATGGAGTCTACATCAGGGCTGGACTTCAGACTTCAGACAGTGGTGTCCAGTCCAGTGGAGAAGCAAGCTGTCCCCAGTCCTAATTAATTAGGACAAGGCCTAGACAGAAGGCAGGCCCCTGCTCTTGTGTCCAATCATCTAACATGGCAGAAGCCTACAACATCACCTCAGGCAAGCCTTTCATTTCCCCACCTGCAAACAGGGTACTGATTTTCAACTAGGTTCTACCAAACTCCAGGACCCACGATGGTATTTCTGCCATCCCTCTACAGGCAAAGAATCTTGGGGTTTATGAAAGACAGAAAATGTAAATAAGTGAAGCAAATGACTAATCAAATGCCACACAGACTGGATAAATTACACCAGATGTGGTAGTGCATTACCGCAATCCGAGAATCTCAGAGAGAGGCAAAAGGATGACTTGAAAGCTACCCTCGGATACATATCTAGATAGAAGCCTGCCTGGACTATGTGAGAGCCTGTCTCAAATAAATAAAAATATACATAAATAAATGAACAAAAGACACAATTTAGATTGCCAGGTGGCAAATGATAACAGTCCTAGGAGATTACAAGAAGGATTGCAAGAGGTCCAACACCTTTCAGGAGACTGCCTCAGACCAAGGATGGAAAAGCAATCTCGACTACATTGCGTACGTCCAGCTGTGATGACCCATCTCCGGAAGACTGACCACATACACAGCCATGAGGCTATGGCTCTCCATTAGCTGTGCAACCCACACCCTTCCCAAACTGTCCTTTTCCAAAAATCACCATTTGAACCAGATACTGGCACCCATCTATCTGGTATGAAGAGGAATGATGGTTTCTGACTTGTTATTTGTCCTGGGGCATCATCAGGCCAATCAAAAAAGGAGGTGATGGGCAAGAGAGAGGAGACATGAGTACAGAGAAAGGTTAGTTTTAAAGAGTGGGGAGAGGCGAAGAAAGACTAGCTGTAAAGATCTAGGCAGGGTTAAGAGCCCTTGGAGACATGCTAGTGCACTGAAAAGAGTCATCTGCTGCCGTATCTTACTTCACACTCCGCCCCAACTGGCACAGGAGCCCTTCCAGAAGGCCAAGGCTACCACCTCACATTTCTGTAGCACCCAATTCCATCATGAAAGCAAATGTCAATTCCAGGATTGGAGTCTCCACAACCATAGAGAAATCTGACAGTTTTGGGAACATTAGTTCCCAGTTTTGGAGGAAAAGCAGCTCTTTGTTCATTCTGTCTCTCCTCTTCCATTAATGTGGACTCCCGCTTTGAGCATGCAGAACTCTTTAGGTTGTCAGTGTTAGGAAAACTCTGGAAACACACACTGTAGTGGTGCTGCACACACAGTTGTTCCTATTCTTAATTAGGGGTCACCTCCACATGACGGGGAATGAGAAACAAGACAACTAAATGTTAAAATACTGACATGGAGAGTACAAACTCTAAAATAAATTCAGGAGAGTAACTGTGACACGAGGCCAAAGATGCACGACTGGAAACAGACCAAAGCGCCACATAGCATCACACTCCCCAGACTCTCCTTGTCAGAGCTTAAAGTCCTGCAGTTCTGTCAGGGGCAGAACGAGCCTAGCAATGTTCATGACACCGACTTCCAACCACAGTACACAACTGAGAAGATTAAAAAAAAAAAAAAGACCCAAACCCAGAAAACCTACAGTCCTAAAAAGTTACAAGAGCCACCCAGATCTATTATGCAGCCCCTAAACGCTCCAACACTGGATGAGTCAATGGTTTAATTCTGTAGATGACAGTGAAGGGTTTTATTTCAAATGTGTTCACACAGAACTATTTCTAAGCAGGTGCTGAAATAAACAATCTGATCATAGCTCAGCTAAGAAAGAAAGTCCTTCCAGTAAATGTGCCTACACAGCTAGATAGCTGTTTTAATATGCAATTGCCCTAAGCCACAGGAGGAGGAAAACAAAAACAACAAAACAGACTTCTGATTTGGATTTACTTAAATAAATACACCTACAACACACCAAAGGTACTCCCTACCAAGTTAAAGGAGAATGTGGTCAAATGGCTTTTTTATAAAGGACACCTACCTCTGAATGAATTTCCTAAATCCCACCACAAAAATCATTGGGGAACTTGAACACAGGGTAGGAAAGGCACAGCTCACAGACCTCAATTATGTCCAAATCCATTTCATCAGCTAGCTCTTGGCAGCCCTCTCCAACTCTACCCAGCCAGGTCCCTTCATCATATGTCTGGGGGATATCAGACTCACTCACTGGTTCCTGCTCCTGGTTCCTCCAGAGCCCAGGAACAGCACCGATCTGGGCTCCTGTGGCTGCCAGTGCCGAGTGCCGGTAATAACAGAGGGCAGAAATCTGAGTGACACTTGGCACTTTCTTTCATCATCAACAACAACCACCACCACAGTCACAAAGTGCTTTCTACACCCAGGCTCTCACTATTTTGAAGACCAGGAAGCTGGAGCCTTCCAGGGGGCAGAGGTGAAAAAGGAAGCAGAAACCCACTGAGTCTAGCCCCACCCTCAAGGTCATGGCATTAACCAAAGGCCAGGAGGGAAGGCAAAAGGCTGCTTCTGAGGACCAGAGCAGTAAACACCAAGTGTGGCCACAACACCCCCCGCCCCAGGGGGACCTGCAGAACTTGAGAACTGGCATTTCCCTGGCCTAGAGTAAAACAACTTTTCAGCTGGGAAAAAAAAGGAAAAGACAAAGCAGCATACTCCTGAACAGTCCCCAGGGGTGCTGGTAGGGAGGTGGGAGAGAGAGAGTACAGCGGAGTGTCTACAACTGCAGAGGCAAGGAGGGAAGTGAGAAGAAGACTCAAGAGCCCTGAGCAGCGGCAGTCCCCTTTCCCAAGGACACATGGCTGTGAGGTTCAGAGGGGAAATGGGGCAATGGATGAGGCATACCCACCATCACTAACCTTGGTACCAATCAGAGAAATGGGAAGAAGCTTCCAAACTGCAGAGTTGCAACCCTATCTACCCCTTCCTACCTCTGCAGCAGCTCTCAGAACTTTGGGGATAAAATCTGAAACACTCCGGGCTCCACAGAGAATCTGCAATTCTCTGGATCAGTGCCTAGAGAACCTGGCCCCAGCCTACCCTGGCAAATGCTGAGAAATGCAGAACAGGTAAACACAGACCTAAAGGGGGATATCCTCCTCAATGGGGAGCCTGTTGGCAATGGAGAAGGAGCCCCAAGAAGCAGGTGTGATATTAAATGTTAGAAAGGGAGCCTGACAGGCCATGAAGGAAAGGCGGAAAGCCACAAGGGAGGTCAGAGGAAAGGAATGGGAGCGGGGCATCAAGAGAAAATGAGCATCTATTCAAGAACTTGGAGGTGCCAAGAAAGGGGAGATGGAAATAAGAAGAAAGGAATGACTAATAAGACATCTTCAGGTTAGAGCTGAGGACGAGGGCTTAAAAGGAGGCAAGAATCAGAGCAAAATAGGGACAGCGAATGAACAAAAAGGAAAGTCCGGGGAAAGGCTGAATGGGGGAGGGGGGGGCTTAGAATTGAGAGGGACCAAAGGTGGGACATAAGCAGATCATTTTAAAGATGATCACTTTGACAGGGACAGCAATAGTAAAGTTAAAAACGGGTCAAAAATATGAAAATGGACAGCTCCAAAAGGGAGCTGTGGGGAGGGGGCACCTACTAAAGAGAATGAGTGGGGAAAAGGTAAGCCCAGGAAATGCAGAATGGGAAAAGTATGAAGGGTCAGAGCCATCTGAGGTGCAGAGGCACACCAATAGCAAAAAGACATAGGCAGCAAGTCCTAGGTGGAGAGTAACCTACTGCAGACAGGCTAAGGGGAGGGGGCGCAAATGAATGGAGCAGAGCAGAGGAGCGCTGAAATAAAGGTGAGAAAGAGGGCCAGCCAAAGAAAACAGAGGAGCAGAGATGGGGCACAACTAAGATGGAGTTAGGGTTAAGGGCAGAGGTCTGCTAAAGGGAATGGCAGAAATGAGACACCCCGAGGGACAGAAAGGGGGGAAACGAAGAGGCGGAAAGCCAGGCACTGCGGGGGAGTGCGTGCAAGATCGCAGCTCCGGCAAGGGGCAGAGCTGGCAGGCAGAAGGGTCTGGAACAGAAGACAGGGTCTGAATGGCAATCGGGGGCAAGCACTGAGAAGGGAAGGAAGCCAGCAAGCACAGAGTATCTAAATCCGTGAACGGTTGGAGAAGCAGCCTAGGGGCATCCCAAGGAGGTGCAGCAGGTTCCGTGGTACGGCCGGGGCAGAAATGTGGGGCAGTTGGGCCCAAGTGGAAGGAGGAATTATGTCCAAAGCAAAGACCGGAGGGCAGCAGTGCCTCTACCAACAGAGGTCTAATACGGATCTCCACGGAGGTGAAACCGCAGGTCCTAAAGGGACAGCTCCTGGGGATGCAAGAGGTTCTAAGTCAAGAATAATAACAGTAGGTAGGCCACAGAAGGAAGACGGTGACCTCACCCCCAAAGTGATGTTAAGAGAAAACAGATAAGGTAAGAGGGCCACGGATGTCCAAAGTGGGAGCCAGGAGGGATACAGAGGGGGGTCAGTGAGGAGGTAGGTCGTCCCAGGAGCACAGCCGACTCCAGGAGGCAGCGAAGGGTATGACTGGGGGGTGAGGGGGGGGGGGAGTGGGAAAGGAGACGGCTCCGAATTGGGAGTCGGTTATCTCGAGTGGAGGCTGAGAGACACCGAGATCCCCCATCGGGTCGTGGTGGGGCGTGTGGAGGCAGACGCCGGGATTGCAGGGCTGCAGGGACAGTGGCGAATAGGAAGGGCAAGGCGAGCCGCGCGGGCCGGGCCCGGGCATGCAGCGGCTGGGACGCGGGGACCGCGGGGCGCTGGGGGGGCGCTCCCTCCCCTCCCCCTCCGGCTCCTCCATTGTTCGCGGGCTCCGGGCCCCGCGGTCCCCGCCTTTCCCCCCACCCTTGGATCCCGCAGCGGGGCGGCGCCCGGCGCCTCGCCCGTCCCCACGTTCCCCTTCGCCAGCTCCGCGGCACTCACCAGCCTTGGGGGCGCCCTCAGCGCGGTCCCGGCCTCCGCGATCCCGGCCGCAGCAACGGCGGGCCCGGCGCCATGTTCCCCTGGCGACTCGTTCCTGAGGCGGCTGTGGCGGCGGCGGCGGCGGCGGCGGCTCCGGCGGCGGGGGGCCGGGCGGACCCTCCCTCGCGGGCTCCCTCCTCCGCCTCCTCCTCCTCCACCTCCTCCTCCTCCTCCTCCCGCCGCGCCGCGGCTCTCCCTCGGGGCGGGGGGCGGGGAGGGGAAGGGGGAGGGGCGGGAACTAGGGGGAGGGCGGACCAGCCTCGCTCGCTCGCTCGCTCGCTCCCTCCCTCCCGCGCAATGGCGGCGGCGGCGGCGGCGGCGGCGGCGGCGGCACCTCCTTCCTGCGGCCTGCGCCGCGGCCGTGCGCGCGCCTAAGACGGACCCTCTCGCTAGTGCGCGTGCGTGTCGGAGGGGACCAGTGGCGTTGGGGCGGGGGGCGGGGGGCGGGGGCGGGGGGTGGGCGGGGTGGACGATGGATAACGGCCCGGACCGGGACAAGCGCGCCGCGGACAGTAGCCCGGGAGGACAAGCACGCGCGGGCACGAAAGGCGCCGGTGCGCGTGCGCGCCGGAGGATAAAACGCCGCTAGCCCGGCTGCTGCGGCGCGAGGTTACCACCCGCGAGGACACCACCCGCGAGGACCGGCACGGGAGGGCCGTGTGTGTGTGTGTGTGTCGGGGTGGGGGCTCCGTGCGCGTGCGCAGAGACGGCTGCAGCCTGCGAAGCCAGCCCAGGGAGGGCCCGCACGGCGTTGCGCGCGCACGGCGTCGTTGTGCGCGCGCGCGCGCGCCAGGCCCCAGGTCCCCGCCGCCCCTCCCCACGCAGCACGCCACCCCGCGCCGGCTCCTGGAGAAAGCCAGCTCCCAGAGGCATGGCCGGGCTCCTGAAGGGCGGGGACCTAGGGCTCCATCCCGCTCGCGCGGGACCTCAAGAGCCAATGGGAGGCCGGAGGAGGTCGGGTTCGCCTCGTCCAGCAGCAGCCTCGGGATAACGGAGGTCGGGGGGGGGGGGGGGGGGGGGGAGAGGGATGGACGTAACGTGGGGTGGCGAGGCGGGGCTGTGAAGGAGGGAGCGTACCCGGCGAGGGAGCCGATTGGGCAGGGGGAGGGGGCGTGGTCCTCGGCAGCCCAATCCGGGCCCCGCAGTTGGTCGGCCCGGAAGAGTGGGCGGGGACAGAGGGCACGTGCTCTTTCCCGGGCGCTGAAGAAAAAACCTGTGGGCCTGGCGCGTTGATACAGGTTACGGGGTGATTTCACCCAGTGCTTGATTCCGGGCAGAGGGAGGGCAGGCCTTGCGTTGCAACCCTGGCCTCCAGGCCAGCGTCGGGCAAATGACAGCAAACCGTATGTCACTTTGGGTGCTTTCAAGGGGAATGCTGATGTGAAGCAAAGGCTCCCCTCTAACCTCTATTCCTCTGGGAGTCCTCCGGAAGGATGGATTGTGAAAGACCGGCTTTCCCGGCGCCCGAACTATGCGTTTGCAATGCACGAAGGAAGCACGTGTTTCCAATTCAACATTGCACTTCTTTCCAGTCTTTTCATCTGTCAAGTGGGATAATAGTCCCCAACTCAAAGGGAGCCCGGAGAATTGAATGAGTTGTAATAGTCCCTATGGCCATGATTCCCAGTGGGATCCTCAAACCACTAGAATCCTGTAAAAAGTGGGCAACTTCCCCCTATACGTTAACATCTATAATAGCTGATGAATTACTCTCAACAAGGGATCAACCACAACAATAATAAAACGACTATGAATATATTAGGCTGTAGTGAGAGTAATGTGAATGTGATCTCTTCGGAGTCAAGACAGGTATTTATATCTCCCTCTTGGCCAACTGAAACATCAGAATGCAACATGGGAGTTAGGGGAGAACTACTGTGTCTTTAAATGTATAGGGGAGTGGCATAGGGGAATGACTTCCACATACTAAGTACTCAGTAAGCATTGCTAAATAAAACTACACGCGCTCGAATTTTAAAAATTTGAGCAATGAAGCAAAGGAACCCTCTCATTAAAGTTTTAGGTTAGGAGGGCGGGTTCTGGAGGTGTGGGCTGGAGAGATCAGCAGTTAAGAGTGGGTTCTTCCCTTGCAGATGGACCCAACTTCAGTTTCCAGCACCCCCGTCAGGCAGTTCATTATAACATGTAACTCCAGCTCCAGAGGAACCCGAAGCTGTAGCCTCCCTGGGCACCTGCACTCAAGTGCACAGATACTCATATCGACACATAATTAAAAATAAAGAATAATCATTACTTGGGCTTGAGAATATAACTCATTTGTAGAATGCTTGCTTACAGACACAAGGTCCTGGGTTCCATTCTCAGTACAGAATGTCGCAAAGTAAATAAAAATAAAGATAATTTCCATTGAATTTTTTCTCACTAGGTATCCCTGACTGCCCTAGAATTTACTATGTATCTTAGACTGAAATAGAGTGTGTGGCATCCCGCTGCCTCTGCCTCCTGAGTGATGGAAAAGAATGATGTTGGCATTGCACAAAGGAACACAAGAACAAAGCAAAAATAACTCAGCAAGACAATTTACCATCATCATCATCATCATCATTAATTTTGCAAAAGCGATGCTTGCAGGGAGGTGTCAAGATGGACCAGAGATGAAGACCACTGGAAGCGCTTCACAACTGCCTGAAACTCCAGTTCCAGGGAAACTGATGCCCTCTTCTGGCCTACCCAGGAACTGCAGAGATATACGCTAGCAAAACACCTATGCAGTTAAAAATAAATCTCTACAAAGTGTGTGTGTGTCCGTGTGTGTGTGTGTGTGTGTGTGTGTGTGTGTGTGTGTGTGTGTGGAGAGAGCGCGCACGCGCTTGTGCCAACCCCAAACCCAGTTCTTGAGCACACATGGATTCAGTCTTTTATTCCTGATGGAGGTGACTTTGTCTTATCCCATTGATGGGAACTCAATCTGACAGGATTGGCTAATCAACTGGATAAAGGGAAAGGGGGAAAGTTCAGGAAACATGGGCCCTTGTTGGACTACCTACCTGGAATAGAAAACAAATCCTATTTCCCACATGAGTGCATGCACTACCACAACGGAGTTCAGAAAACTATGACACCTTTGCAGGACTGGGGAGATGGCACAGTGGTTAAGATCACTGGATGCTCTTCCAGAGGACCTGAGTTCAATTCCCAGCACCATATGTAAGTACAGTTCTGGGGTTCTGATGCCCTCTTCTAGCCTCCACTGGAACCGAGCATGAATGTGGTGCACAGGTATACATTCAGGCAAATCACTCACTCAATAAAATAAAAATCCTTCGCAACCCCCCCCCCCAGTCTTGCAAATTGTAATTATTTATTTATTTATTTATTTTATTTCAAGACAGGGTTTCTCTGTGTAGCTTTGCGCCTTTCCTGGGACTCACTTGGTAGCCCAGGCTAGCCTCGAACTCACAGAGATCCACCTGCCTCTGCCTCCCGAGTGCTGGGATTAAAGGCATGCGCCACCACTGCCTGGCCTGCAAATTGTAATTTGTAAACAGTGTCTCGCTCTCAACTTGTGTTTCTCTTTTTTGGAGTGTGTTACCTTTTCTTCAAGTCTCAAGTTGAAGTCACTTCCTCAGAGTGGCTTAACAGATGTGGCCCGATCCTGGGTCTTTAATAAATGTATATACTGGGCAAAGAGTGCAGTTTAGCTGCCAGAATGCCCGCCTAGCATGTCCTGGGTTCAGTCACCAGCATCACAGAACCCTGGTGTGATGACACACACCTACAATCACAGCCCTTTGGAGGTACAGGCAGGAGGATCAGAAGTTCAAGGTCAACTTTGGTTACACTGTGAGTTCCAGATCAGCACAGGCTATGTGAGACCCTGGCTCAACCAAAAAAAACAAATATATAAATGTTCATGAATAATTAATTGAATGTTAAACAAAAGGGATAGTAGGCATTCAATCTCACGGTAGTTAAAAAAGACAAAGTCCTTGTCTGCTCACTTCTACTTTCAGATGTCCCCCCAGGCTGGGTCAGGTGGTCCCTCTAGGATCCTAAAGCCCCTGGACCACCCTGGGTCTTTTCTATCAATTATTCTTTCCTATGGCGTAACAGCCGGCTCACAATCACCATCAAAGTCTCTAATAGGTCGAAGCAAAAGGGAGGGGCTCAGGAAGTGTTTTGTTGTTGTTGTTGGGTGAAGGTACCTTTGGGCAGGGCTTTCCCAGCTCTGTAATTCTTTCCAGTGCTTAAGAAGGAGACTCTGTAGCTGAGTAAGCCAACGACAGGAAGCAGGCTTCCCTGGGGGCAGCCACCCCCGCGAACCCGGCTCCCCTCCACTCCAGGATAAACAAACATCCGACTAAACAATTATCTGACAGAGAGAAGAGCGGGCTGCCGGCTTGGCTCTCTATCAAGATTTCCCAAGCATGGCCCTGCGGGCCCAAATAGCTGGAGGTCACGTCAACCAAAGTGCTAGGGACCAAACAGGGCTTCAGGTCTGGACGCGTATCGCAGACATGGATACGCAAGGGAGAGAAAAAAAAAACACACACACACACACCAAAGTTTTCAGAGAAATTAGCGATGGTGGGACATATTCAGTCTCCATTCCGAGAATTACAGAGAGGGTAGCGACTAGGGCCGAGCATGAGCAATAAGTCGACGATCCTACAGCGCCGCCTGCTAGCAGAGCAGAGAAAGCTGCATCTCTCTGAAGCTGCGGGAGAATACGGCAAATGATGAAATCTTCCGCCATTGGGCAGAAAGGCAGCCAATCACGTGGAAGGAATGAGAAGCCAGGATGCTGGCTGTCGCCGCGGAACGGCTCAAGACGTGCAGTGTACAGTGCGCCAGACATTTGATGGAAGGTTGCACGATGAACCTATTTCCATAAATTTGTAAAATTAGCCGGGCATGGCATAATCCCAGCACTTAAAAGGGAGAGGCCGGAGGACTGGGAAAGTTGAAGCGAATTATAGGCTAGCCAAAGGCATTTTGGGAAACATAGCGAAACCCTGCTTCAGAAAGAGTGAGGAGGAGGGGAGATGGAATAAATTTAAGTAATGTAAATTTAAGTGAGGCACAGTTCATACCTTGTTGGTTCTGAGGCCGTTTGCTTTTTGGTGCTGGGGCGGCAAAGGCAAGCTCTCTACCAGTGAGCTACATCTTCAGGCTTCTTTTACCTTTTATTTCGAAGCAGGATCTCACTAAGTTGTCCAAGCTGCTCCGTCTATAGTCCTTAACAGGCTTGAAATTTCAGTCTTCCTGCCGCAGCCTCTGAAGACGCGGAGGTTAGCAGGCGCGTGCCATCAGGCGTTACTTTGTTTGAGACAGGGTATTCTGTAGCGAAGGCTACCTCCGATTTGCTATGTAGCCAGCACTGGCCTTGAACTTCTGATCCTTCTGCCTTCACCTCTCAAGTAGTGGGATTACAGGAGTGCATATCCAACCTGCCCAGAGAATACTTCTTTGTGACCAGTCTATAAATAAAGGAACCATGTTAGGCCATCTCTCAGATGCCTCTAATAATGCCTCCTTCTCTTCCTCCTCTCCACGGCCAATGGGGACTGCTGTTAGTCATGACTTCCATTACTGTGGATTCCTTTTGCCTGTTTTAGTTAGGGTTCTGTTGCTGTGAAGAGACACCATGACCATGGCAACCAAGGAAAACCTTTTTTTTTTTTGGTTTTTTGAGAAAGGGGTCTCTGTGTAGCCTGGGCTGTCCTGGAACTCACTCTGTAGGCCAGGCTGGCCTTGAACTCAGAGATCTGCCTGCCTCTGCCTCCCGAGTGCTGGGATTAAAGGCGTGTGCCCCCTCCACCTGACATAAAAGAAAACATTTCATTGGGGCTAGCTTATAGACCAGAGGTTTAGTCCATTGTCATGGCTGGAAGCATGGCAGCATGCAGGCAGACATGGTCTGGAGAGGCAGCTGAGAGTTCTACATCTGGATCTGAAGGCAGCAGGAAGAGGGCTTGAGCTTCTGAAACCTTAAAGCCCGCCCACCCTCAGTGACATGCTTCCTCCAACAAGGCCACACCTCCTAATGGTGCCACTCTCTATGGGCTTATGGGGGCCATTTTTATTCTAACCACCACAGCGCTGCTTGTAAATGTGCCGAGAGCTGCTGGTTGCAATGGCTTTACCAGAGGTTGTGGGAGTATACAGCAGGTGACAACTAATATTTAACAGGTCGACCCAGCAGACCCACCTGATGGGGAGCCCCACCTGGCAAAGCTGTAGAGTTATTGACTGTTATTGACTGGTTGCTCCCATCTGTTAGTCTCATGTGCCACCACTATACCTCCCTAAAAAGAACAGTTGTGGGGTTCTTTCCGCAGCCCATTGGTAGTGTGTTTTCTATCTTTGGGTATACATACTGCTGTGGATGGTCAGGAAGATGATTTCTGCTTCAGCTGTATAATTCTAATAATATTAGAATATTTTTCATAACTGATACAGGAAAGTAAGAGTATTCTCGGTCACAAAGACAGCTAATTTTAGACTTCAGAACAAATTCAAAATAGACTAAGCTGCCCCTGCAGAAAATACACAAGAACAAGTTCCCAGGTGTTTATTGCTAAATCAAGGTCAGACTGTTTACATTGAGACATAACCCCCTAGAGTAATTAACTGCATGTATTGTACTCCTACGCTCAAGGTTCAGCCACCTAATAGTTTATTGCTAGCCCTGAATTTCAATGTCATTTTCTGTCTGGGAACGCTAACCACTCAGGCTATGTGCTTGGCCAAGCATTACTCACTGGCCGGTCAATGTGACCTGCCTAGCCTGAGAGAAACTGTGTGACTTAGCATGTGTTATGAGAATGGATTGGACCCTGAAAATGTAACAGATAATTGTCCAGAGTTTGGCTGTGAGAGGGTAGTGAGAGTGAGGTTGGCATGCTGAGTGAGGGATGTAGCGGAATGGGCAGAGAGAAAATGTAACATGCAATTGTTCAAAGTTGGGCAGAGGAGAAAAAGTGTGAGAGTAGAGTGAGAGAATGAGTGAGAGAGTGGATGAGTAAAGAGAGAACGAATGATGCAGTAGTGAGAAATATATAACTGTATGTAAAGAGGTGGGAGGGGTGCTGTGTAGTGCTATGCAGGGGAGCTGTGAGAAAGAGCTATGTGAAGGAACTGTGAAAAGCGCTGTGCAGTGAGTGTGTGTGTGTGAGTGTGTGTGTGTGTGTGTGAGTGAGTGTGTGTGAGTATGTGAGTGTGTGTGTGAGTATGTGTGTGTGAGTATGTGAGTGTGTGTGTGAGTATGTGTGTGTGAGTGTGTGTGAGTATGTGTGTGTGAGTGTGTGTGAGTGTGTGTGTGAGTATGTGAGTGTGTGTATGTGAGTGTGTGAGTGTGTGTGAGTGTGTGTGTGTGTGAGTGTGTGTGCAGAAGGAGCTGAGAAAAGAGAGTGAGTAACTAGGCAGGAGAGAGAGCAACAGAGATTTTCAGAAAGAGATTCTGAGATGTACGAATGTTAAGAGATGTAGTTGTGTGGAGACAGATATTCAGAGAAAGATTTTTTTAACATGAAATAAAAGAGAAAGTTGCCATCAGAAAGCATGTGTGTTTCCTTATTTTTTCACCTCAGATAGAAAAAGTCTAGCCTTCAGATAGATAAGAATTTTTTCTAAGCTCTAGTTGCCTTCATGGATTTTTTTTTTTTTTTTGCATACCCTGGTGTGTAGCACAAATCCTTATTGGTCTTAATAATAAAAACCCAGAGCCAGATATCAGTGTAAATGCTGAAAGATCAGTAAAGGAGCCAGGCACTAGAGAGACTTCTTACCTCTAC